GTTGCCGTGCTCATCTGGGCACTTGCAGCTAAGGATGTTACCGAAAGCAGCAAACGTGTCGTGAAGGGCCTTGTTGTCAATGGCGACATCGAGGTTCTTGATGAAGACGTTGCCCTGGCCGTTCTTGCGGAGGGCAGGGTCGCGCTGCGACCACATGATACGGCAGGGACGGCCGTTGATCACGGTGTAGTTGAGCTCCTCGAGGGCCTTCTCGCCATCCGAGGTGGTGTTGTAGTTGACGTAGGCGTAGCCGAGCGAACGGCGAGTGACGGCATCACGGCAGACACGGATAGACGCGACGGGGCCGATGTGGGAGAACAGCTCGAAGAGCATGGCCTCAGTGACCTGGGGCTCGAGCTCACCGACGTAGAGAGAGGCAGAGGCCTGGGGCTGGGGAACAGCCGAGTTGGGGGTAGGACCAGCGGTGTCAGCATCGCCCTGAGCGCCCTCAACGTTGGTGTTGATGGCAGGGGTGTTCTTCTCCTCGCCGTTCAGCGAGGTGGTGGCAAGGTCGTTGGTGAGCTGATCAACAGCACCGGTGTTCGCGGAGGCAGACATGGCGACGAGGTAGGGTAGTTTCGTTCTGGCAGGCAACTGTATTAGCCGTGGCTGTGTTGGTCACAGTGGGAGTGGTGGCCGGAGGTTGAAAGTCGACGGGCAAGGAAACGGTGTGCGTGCGGGCGGTGTGCAGTGGATTGGGTATTGTGGTTCGTTCGTTGTTGGGAGGCGGGGGCAGAGGAGGGGAAGGGCAGGCTCGACTTACCGGGAGAATGAAAGCTAACGAGGTTGTCGTTCGGAGGGGTGGCAAAGACAAGAACGGGCGTCCAAGTTCTTTTTGCGTGGTGATGCAGAGAAGGATGAATGTGGTGCGTCAAGTTTGACCGAGACACAAGGCGCTCTTGGGTGGGAGATTGGCTGGGCAAGAGTGCAGGAGGTAAGAGTAAGGGTATGAGGACACAAAAAGATGTGTCGTGGGATTTTTTGAGTGGATTTTAAAGTTTTTTTGGTTTTCCGTGTGTGATGAGCGAAAGAGAACAAGCACGAGAAACGCACTTCTTGTCTATTGCTCGTGTGTGTGAGGATCGCGATGATGAAGGGTTTGTGGATGGAGGAGAAGAGATTTCGGTCATGCCCCAAGATGGTTGAGGATTAAATTTAGACTCGCCTGGCAGGCAAGCGTCGTCTCGGTTGGTCTTGCAGTCCTTTCAGCCAGTGACCGTTGCCGTTCAAAGAGGAAGGCACAGGTGGGGATGGGCACCTGTGCGCCTGTGCCACGCTGGCAAGGTACCTGGCAACCCTGGCCACATTTTCTTTTCTTATCGCCTTATCGGAATTGGGACGGCCAAGCCTCGTGCGCCGTTAGCGTATTTCCCTTGCGCGCGAAGCTTCCACCTCTGTCTTACTAACCACAAGGGACTCGCCGTCATCGCCCCGCCAGATCACGGCCGCTATCCTTCCACCTCGCACCAGAGGAGCTCCCATTTGGAGTGTGCCCCGCGACGATCCTAGTCTTTCGATTAGCTATCCTTTGATTGCCCGAGACTTGCTGAAGTTGGCATGTCTGTCCAAGTCAATCTCCTTGATTCACACCCTCTCTTGGACATGTTGCAGTATCCGTCTTTGAAGCTTGGTCACCAGTAATAGTACTACTACCAACCTTAACCCCCCCAACCGACTACCTACCGACAACGCCGGATCATCATGCACTCGACCTTCACGGGCAACTCCCGCCGAACCCGAAATGTCAACCTGAGTGGCCAAAACCAGAACCCCTTTGCCAACGTTTGGTCGCCGTCAGCCAGTTCTGGGGCTTCCAAGACAGTGTCAAACGCCCAAGCTGAGCGGCAACAGAGACAATTAGAACGAGACCGCTTGAAGGCTGCGAGGAACATCCAACGAACATGGAGGAGCCACCACGTCAGAAGACAATGCCGGGATGTCTGGCGCCAAGCCTTCGATGACATTTACCGTGTTGACAACCCGAACACTGCTGTCCAGAGAGTGCATGCGGCTTTGCCGCTGCTGCTTGCTGCCTTTCAGAGCAACCGACCCGAGGACGTGCATCGGCTAGCTTATATAGCACGAGATGTCATGTCCCAGCATGTACGCTCTTTAGTCCCAGCATCAGAAAATCAATCAAGTAGAGAGCAAGAAGACCATCGTCTGAGACGATTGTCTGAGATAACTGTCGAGGCCCTGGGGGCAACAACTATGGAAACGTGGGTTGGGACGCTCAATGGCCTTGTCATATTTTCTGAAGAGAGACTGACTGCAATTCTTTCAGATTTCTTCAACCAGAATCGAAACTCCTTGTCGATCTCCTAGCCTACCTGGTCGCTGGACAACCTCAGTCTGTCATGCAGGTTCTCTCCCAGTACTTCCGACTCCTAGCAACACTGGTGCGTGCTTCTGCCTCAGATCAGCAGCAGCTCGAGAAGGTCCTGGTACTTGTGTTGGCTCCTTTAAACAAGCCCCCCCAGTATGGTATGTTTCCGTGCTCACCATAGTCCTTCATCATCCACGTGGCTCGGCTGCTTATACACTTACCAGTTTCTGCCGAGGACGCCCGTCCATTCACAACCCGCGCCTATGATGCATTTGCTTTCGATTTCCTCGCAGTAGGGGATATAGCTCCTCTACAACAGGAGAATAACCTTATTGCGCAACGCATCGACATCGATAAACTCTCAGGAGCCATAATCGAAGCATACTCCGGGCCCCGGGCCGCCGCAGCAACGCCAGATAGTTTACTTTGGCTTCTCGCCTACTATATAGACATACATCAGACGCAAAAGAGCACATCTCACCACCTTGGCTCGTTGCATGCCATGCACCTTCAGCTGTCAAGTCTGGCTTCTCAGATTCGATTTCGATTACCATTGGCAAGCAACGGAACGTCACGAAACACCGAGCGAGCGAATGATGGCACAGAGTCCATGCTCCGGCCACTGCCGCCTTATGTTTCGACCAAGCTTACCTCCTGCGTGGACCGAGCCGGTATTACTGATATCCTGTCGGATCTGGCCAGGTCAGTTTTAGTCGAGCTTACACAACGACAGAGGGCTAACTGCAGCAGCACTTTCGCCCCCGAGTCAAACGCAACTTCTGCTTCCCCTAATAACAAAAGCTTCCAGGGTGCAAGCCTCTTGGCAGGCTACATTGTCACGCTTCTGCGGTGCTTTCCGACGTTCGCTGATGACATTCGGATGCGCCTGTTTTTGGGAGATATTCCCTCAACAGGCGGAAATATCCCCGTCATCAAGTACCTTTGGCAAACAATGAGCCAGACATCGCTCTTTGAGCGCATCTGCCATGATAAAGGATCCGCTCACGCAGTCGGTTCGATCCCTTCCTTGATTAAAAGATACCTGTCAAAGTCGGGGACTCAAGAATACTCGGCCCTTGAGGAACAAGAGTGGAGATTGACTTTGCTTTTCCTTGAACTCTACACTTTCATATTGCGCCTCAGCGATGACGACGACTTCTTCAGCGGCATTTGGCCAAGGATCATCGAGAATGACGAGCCGCAGACTCGGCTCCGAGCATGCAGCCTCACCCTAGAAGACATCAAAAACTTGACATTGTTCCTCAAGAACTTGGCATTTGCCCTGCATTATTACACCAACGAGATCCTTCAGGATCTTGCTCCAAAGCCTCGCCTCATCCAACGGATTGGATTCATTCTTTGGCTTCGCTGAAAGGTCAGAAAGCCTCCAACAAGGGGAGACGCACATCCCTGGGTCCAAACGGCCTATCCTTCGACAAGCCTGATCTAGCAGGATTGAGGGCTATCGTGACGTCAACGTTGCGCATGCTCTACGAACGGGACTCTCGACGTCCGTTTTTACCCCGGGACCACTGGCTCATGACCTCCAAATTTGACATGGAAAAGTTTGCGTCGAGCGTGGTGCGGGAACACGACCGCCAACAAGAAGAGCTGGCCAACTTGTCAGAGGACGAGGATCAAGACGAGGAAGACGACATGGATGATGACGTGGAGATGGAAAATGGCGTGCATACGTTCGCCGGTCAGCGCTTGTCACAGCACGCGCAAATAGAGAACATTCGAGCTCGTCAGAGACGAGCCCAGAAAGCTCGCATGCTATCCGTCATCGGACCCAAACTAGAGATCCTGCGGCACATGCCTTTTGTGATCCCTTTCGATGCCCGGGTCCACATCTTCCGACAGTTCATCTACCTCGATCAACAAAAGAGGAGACAAGGCATGGACGCCGAGCAGTGGCGGATGACCATGATCAACAATCCGCTCTTGCCCCAGAGAGGTCTGACCGGACGTCATCGTGGAAGCATCAAGAGAGGACAAGAATTCGACGATGCGTTTGAGCAGTTCTACGAACTAGGCGAAAGCCTCAAGGAGCCAGTCCAGATTCAATTCATCGACAGCTTTGGCGATGTCGAGGCAGGCATCGACGGAGGAGGTGTCGCTAAGGAATTTCTCCTCAGCGCCATTAATCAGGTGTTCATGAATCAGTCTGAAGACCGATACTTTGTCGAAAATAATCAGAAGCTGTGGTATCCGAACCCGATCATCTTCGACAAGTTCAGAGAAGAAGCCGAGGAGATGGGCCTCCCTGAAGCTGAGAAGAAGGATATCCTGACCGGACTCTCACAGAGGTACGAGTTTCTGGGACGCCTCGTCGGTAAATGCATGTATGAGGATATCCTCATTGACGTCAACTTTGCCGGATTCTTCCTACTCAAGTGGGCAGCTTCCGGTCTGACAGGCGAGGAGAGCTACCGGGGCAACGTGAACGACTTGCGTGACCTCGATGCTAGCTTGTATCAGGGTTTGGTGCATCTCAAGAATCTACCCGCAGACGAGGTGGAGTCACTGAGCCTTGACTTTACAGTCGATGATCAGATCTCGGCGGATGGCGAGACGGTGCGCAGTCTGACAAGAGAGCTCATTCCCGGCAGGGGTTCGACGCCCGTCACCAAGGACAACAGACTGCTCTACATATCGTACATGGCGCGTCACCGACTCGTGGTGCAGCCCGCCCAGCAAACGATGGCTTTCCTGCGCGGTCTACGCGCCATCGTCGCGCCGACCTGGCTCTCCATGTTCAACCAGACTGAGCTGCAGCGCCTCGTCGGCGGCGACTCGTCCGAGATTAGCATTGATGATCTGCGCGACAACACAAACTATTCGGGACTCTACGTCATCGGCGACGATGGCGAGGAGCACCCGACGATCCAGCTCTTCTGGAAGGTCGTGCGTGGGTTCACGGACGCCCAGCGACGCGATCTGCTCAAGTACGTCACGTCGACGCCGCGTGCGCCGCTGCTGGGGTTCGGGTCGCTGAACCCGCTTTTCAGCATTCGCGACGGCGGCACCGACGAGGCCCGGCTGCCGAGCGCCAGCACATGCGTGAACCTGCTCAAGCTGCCGCGGTATACGGACGAGGAGACGCTGCGGCGCAAGTTGGTCCTCGCGATTTCGTCGGGCGCTGGATTCGATCTGAGCTGAGGGAGTGTGACGACAGTCAGAGGCGGAAAGCAGGAGCGTGTGTAACGATTGTATGAGGTATAGAACAGGTAGCGTTGGCAGCGTGATGCATATATCAGTGCAAGTTTGTTTTTTCTTCCCTTCAAAACATCCTGAGCTGCGATTCCCGCACACGCCTGCCTGTAAGGGAGTGAACGACATGACCAACGACATGACCAACGACACAAGTCACGGGTGTGTTCATGGCAGCGTGTAAGGTCATAAATGTCAGAGATTAGTTGTCTCTATGATCGTGATATGGTACAAATAAATGGCTTCCAATCTGGGGGTGAGACCCTTCCCGTCTTCCATGCCTTGCTGCTCCCCTTTCCATTTTCATGTAGTTGGTCATTCCGCTTACTCGGCGACCCAGACGGCGCTCATGCCCATACCCGTGCCGATGCACATGGACGTGTTGCCAACCTTCTTGCCGGTCCTCTTGAGCTCGTACAGCAGGGTGGAGATCTGCCTGGCGCCGGTGCAGCCGAGGGGGTGGCCGAAGGCAATGGCGCCGCCCTTGGGGTTGACCTTGTCGAGGGGGATGCCGAGCTTCTCGGCGGACCAGAGGCACTGCGAGGCAAAGGCCTCGTTGATCTCGTAAATGTCGACGTCCTCGGCCGTGATGCCGGCGAGCTCGTTGGCGCGGGGGATGGCCTTGTAGGGGCCCTGGCCCATGAGCAGCGGGGGGACGCCGACGATGGCGCCGGCGACGTACTTGCCGAGGATGGTCTGGCCGAGGCGCTCGGCGGTGGAGCGGCGCATGAAGAGCACGGCGGCGGCGCCGTCGGAGACCTGCGAGGCGTTGCCGGCGTGGATGCTGCCGTCCTTGGCGAAGGCGGCGCGGATCTTGCCGAGCGACTCGGCCGTCACGCCGGCGCGGATGCCGTCGTCCTTGTCGACCGTGATGGTGCGCGTCTCGCCCGACTTGGGGTCCTCAAAGGACACGGTCAGGGGCGCAATCTCTGCGTCGAAAAGGCCCTCGGCCTGGGCCTTGGCGGCCTTGGCGTAGGACGAGGCGGCGAAGGCGTCCTGCGCGGCGCGCGTCACGTGCAGGTCGCGCGCCATGTCTTCGGACAGCACGCCCATGGGGACCTTGCAGTTGGCGGCCTCCTTGTTGTTCTCGAGGAGCTCAGAGAACTCGGACACGGCGCTGGGGCTGGGAGCGGCGTGTTAGCTGGGGCTGACGAGAGAGAGAGAGAGGGCAGAGTCAAACATACCCGTACTGCGTGCTCATGCTCTCAACACCGGCACCGATGCCAATCTCAATCATGCCCGACTTGATCTGGTTGATAATGTCGATGGAGGCCTGCAGACCCGAGGAGCACTGGCGGTTGAGGGTGCGGACGGCCGTCGTGGTGGGGAAGCCGGCAACGAGGGCGGCGGCACGCATCTCGGTGGCGCCACCGCCGGGAGCGAGGACGGTGCCGACGGCAATGTCCTCCACGAGGGCGGGGTCAATCTTGGAGCGCTCGAGCAGGGCCTTCAGGGCGCCGGCCATGAGGTCGGCGGCCTGGGTGTCCTTGAAGCCACCCTTGCCGCCTTTTGTGAAGGGGGTGCGGAGCGCGGCTGTGACAACGACCTGGAGGGAGCAGGTTGGGTCAGTCTGCGGTCTGGGCGACGACGCAAGGGGTTTGGAGGGATAGGCAGGGAAAACACTTACATCGTCGGGGTTCTTCTGAAGAAGCTTCTCCTTGCCAGAGGCGCCGACAATCTGGCCGGACAGCTGGGAAATTCTCTCGATGGCACCCATGGTGGAAAGACGGAACGTGATGTGGTGAGGATGGAATGGGTATCTTGGAACAGGAACGGAGAAAGAAAGAAGAAAAGAACTGGGCAAGAGATGATGGATGTTGTGTCAAAGGTGAAGATGGCAAGGCGAGGAGGAGGAAGAGGAGGAAGTTAAAAGACGTCGTATTGGCAGGAGGCTTTCTCTGACGGCAGGTGTGTCTGAGCCTCGGATTGTTTGCGATCGTGACGGCCAGACGGTGGGGTTTTGATTTCAGCTGTTTGGGGGCCCTTGCCTGGCGGATCCCCCCCCCAAAAACCGGCCGAGGCATCCCCCCAGAAATGTGATGGCGCATGGGGGGCAAAAAGCCCGGCCCCCTGTCTAGCGCCTCTCACATGCCACATCCGAATGCGGGGAGCTCACAACAGCCTCCTTCTCACGCCAGTGCCGGCTTAGGTCATCATGTCATGAGGCTCATGTCGTGAGGCACGAGGCACGAGGCATGAGGCAAGAGGCAAGAGGCCATGCGCATTGCTGACTGAGGGTTCAATGGACCTCTGCCGGCATGCAAGACATGTTCATGCATTTGAGGCCGACATTGAGTTGGTGCTTCACCAGGTCCAGTTGCTGCTTAGTTGCCTTACAAATACAATGCTCACACGCATTTACAACACAAACCGCTGCTCATGACCGCCTTCCCCAACCAGACTTGCCCTCATCAACCTGTCTCTCCCGCTCGAGCAGCGCATCAAACTCCTCCTGCGCCTGGCTCTTGGCCTCGGCCTTGTCCTTTTCTGTCGCCTTGTACGGGTAGTTGCTCCCGTAGCTGCCGGCGTTGGCGTTCGGCACGCGGCCCTGCTGCTGTCTGTCTGCCGCCGCTTGCTGACGCACTCTATCCCATGCCGACCCGGAGAATGTGCCTTGCGGAGAGCCTCTGGCGCCTGGTGCCACGGGCGACGCATCGTCGTCGATGCCCTCGACGCCCGAGCTGCCCCAGCCTGGAGACTGCGTGGTCTCCGTGGAGCCCGAAGTCCAGGTCGTCGGCTTGGTCGGCCCTGTGGCATATGTGCTTTGTGACGTGGCAGGCGTACCTGGCCCAGAGCCAGCGAGAGTGTCGTACTCCTTTTCCTGATCAACAGAGTGCTGCGGGTCCTCCTTGGCCGCAATGGCCTCATCAAGCCGACGCAGCTGCTCCGTCTTGGCCTCCCGGATGGCGTTGAGCCCAGACTCGAGAGCCTCCGGTGACGTGTTGGCGCTGTTGCGCAGCGACTCCTCTGCCTTGGCGCAGGGCCGGCCTCGAGCTCGTCCTTGGCCCGGATGAGCTCCGTCTTGCTGGCCCTCGACGTGTACCTGCCCCCGTCCGGCGTCTGGCCGCTGGGCGCCTCGCCCGCCCCTCTGGCGGCGCAGGGCGTCGGCGAGGGCCTTGAGCTGGAGGGTCCATCGTCATGGCGGCAAAGTTGCTAATGTGGCGTACGAGTGCAGAAAGAGCGACGCGAGTCGCAGAGAGTAGTACGCACGAAGCGCGACATGTGCACGCGTAGTGCGCGCTGCCCTCAGCACTGCTGTGCAGCTGGGAACACGTGCGGGCTCGTCTTGACCCATTTGGGCTGCCAGAAAGGGAAGCGAAACTTGGCGCGTCCGTTGTAGGCGATGACCGCGGCCATGGTGAGACCGATCGGGAGCTTGAGCCGAGTGAATCACCACGTCGCGCGCCGAGATGGTCGTTAGCGACGCCACCTCCTCCTGGGTGATGGGCCGTGACAGCTTTTGGGAGATGCTGCCGGCGACCCGCTTCGTGCTCGTCTGGATCTGACTTTCTGTGACGCCTAGGAGTGTTGCCCACAGGGGGATGGCGATTTCGGGAAACTGGTATATTGTGGCGGTCCTCTCACTCGAGGTGCTGTCGTCCCAGCCTGCGTCTGTGTTGCGGGACGTCATGGTGTCGGGTTCCGCCCAAGCCGAGCGACCAACTTTCGAGATGGAATTCACACAGTTTGGTTCTTTTTGTTACTTAAAATTGGTGAGAATATGCCCAGGTTGCACCTGGCGCTGAAAAGTGACGATGATCGATGCGTTCTGGTCTGTCGACAACTGAATGAGTGACGTCTGTGACTTGACGTCTGTCGATCGAATTGATGAACCGCCGGGTCGTATTGGGACTGGCCCGTGCGTCAGCTTCCCAGATGCGTATACTGTTTACTTGTATTCCAGACGCGTTCCCGTGCAACTATCCAGTCGTGGGGCAATTCAATATACGCGTTGCTCAACACTGGCAACACTTGATCAGTGCTCCACACGCGTTCGCAGGGGGCCATCGCGTCTCCAACGCCATAGATGCAACAAACATTCAGCGAATGCTCTTTTTGGGCGTTTTCGACCAACACCTTCAAACGGCCGGATCTTTTTTTGGGGGGGAAAGAAAGTTATTGGAACAAATGTGCAGATCATAGAGGCGGCGGTTCTTTTCTACCATGCCTCTCCCGCAGAGGTCACACTCGGCATACGAGCAGAACCGCTTTGCGAAGGTTGGCCTCCACATGCTTTACCAACACGTACAGCTAACCTCTGACTGACTTTGTTTTCGTAGAGTCGTGCTCAGTGGCAGAGGGCAAAGACACATTCTGCAACGGGACAATCGACAAGCAATCGACCACTCGCACCGATATCCGAGAAGACGAAAAACAAGTTGACCGAGTTCCAGTTCCAACCGCCATCCGACGCGGTGGGCTTCACATCGACGCCTCCCGAGAAAGATGACCAGCAGGACACATGCCGACCACCAGTCAGCCAAGATGCAACGTCAATGACCCCAGCTGGCCGGGTCAGCCTCAAAGACCTCATGGCGCGGGAACCGAAGCCCTCCATCGAAATCGAACACCTCTCACCGAACGAGCGAATCATGTGGAACAATAAAGAGGACCCGGCATACTCCTCAATGATCTCCCCCATGATCTCAAGGAGGCATAGGAAGAGGGCTCGCAGCTCGTCTCCCATTTCCTCACCATGCACGGACATGGCGCCAACGCCTGTCCCAGCTGTCGATGTCAAGAAACTAGGCGCAGCATTGCGGTCTCCTCACGCAGACCCGACTCTTGAACTCTGGGACCGTTTCTCGCTCGGAAACAGTGGAGGCCTGGCCACGCCATTGGGAGCAACGAACACCAGCCTTGCCCAATTCATGGTTTCCTCATCTCCAAGACCCCCCAAGGCGCGGTACCTTCGACCGGGGCCGGGTTCCGCAGAACTCTTAGCAATGGGCTCAATTGGCCGAAGCGACGGCGCTTCGACCGTCCTGAGACCCTGGGCATGTCTGCGAGGAATAGTCAGTCATTTGGCGATGCCTCCAAGTCGTCCTTGGTCACTGCTTTGCTTGATACTGTAGAGAGCAAGCAGGAGTTTACGTCGCCCGCATCAGCCTCTGGAAAAGACATGGCATCAGAGTCGCCGTGCCCTCAGAAAAGGAGCACTGCCATCAATGGGACCACACATGACCGGACCCCATCCTCAAGTCCGTACAAACAGGAACGACCCAAGCACGGGATTGCCCACAACCAGGGTCACGCAGTCAGACAGGGTCTTGGTCTGGGTATTGTCACACAGGCAAAGCCTGAATCTGACTACGGCGATGATGACTTTATGGATGACGATCTTTTGGACGACGACACCCTGATGCAGCTTGATCTCATAACCACGCAGCCATCGAAACCTGCCAGTCAGGCACTCATGGGACCACCTCCTTCACCGTTGAAGAACGTTCATAAACCAGTAGATTTCCTGGATGACGACTTCGATGATGATCTGGACGACAACATTATCGAAGCTGCGGGTCTCATGA